GACTGGAGGCATGCGAGCATGAGGTTGAATTGGAGAGTGAATTTGAGGAATTCGAATTTGTGTCAACAACGTTCAGGGTGGCGGCACATGATTGCTGCAAGGTGGGCGAATGGCGGGGTGAGTTTACTGCGGCCAAAGGTGACGGCGCAGGTGATGGCGTAGGAGAACAGGAAGATGATGCAGACGACGGAGGTGGTATGGAAGCTTCTAGCGATAAATCGGCGGCTGAAGAGACAAAATTTGAGTTTGAACTGAAAGAGGACGAGGAGCATTCATGATGCATGTTACTGCTTTGACTAGCACACATTTTAGTGTTATCCTCCATGAATTCCTCTTTTATGTCAGCTGGCAAAATTTGTCCACTAAAACTCGTTAAGTTCTCCTTTTTGACAATGTCCTCTAGTGGGGTTGTTACTGCTGTCATTGACGTTGTTATTTCATCAAGCGGCTCGTCTTTGATTTTGTCACACGTCACGGAGTTAAATACCGCAGACAGTGTCGAAGAGCTATTAGAGTTAGAGTAGTTGGCACATACCGTAGTGTTCAGAAGATTACCCGTATTCAGTGAGTTCTTAAGCATATCAAATGGATCGGGCATGGACACAGAGGTCGCAGTCGCAGTTTGTACAGCAGTTACAGTTTGTGTAGACGTTGGTGCTGAAGTGGTAACGGCAATCGCTTTTGCAGCGCTTAACTGTGGTAGCTGCATGGGCTTGATTGCTGGTACAATAGTCGCTGGTACTATAGCTGCTGGTATAATAGTCGCTGGTGCTATGCTCTGCGTTAGTTTCACACTGGACGTAGTTGGACTCGCTATGCTAACAAGCGCCGGTGTGGGCAGCACGTTAGGAATATTTGGTTTTGTTACGGTAGTTGCACGTATGGTAGCCAATTCCTTGTTGGCTACCACACCACATGAAGCCGGCACAAGTGGTGGTGGAGTTGTGGGCGTGGCAATGATTTTACCGTTGGCTGTGATTTTGGTTTTGTTTGTGTTGGCTGTTGCGATTGCCTTTGCCTGTGCTGTCAATTTGGGCGCACGTTTTTGGTATGGTTTCGCCAGCGCGGAAGGCTTGCTTTGTGCATTGCCTGGAGTTGTGGCATGTGTACGTGCTTTGCCATTTGATATCGTAACGAGTGGTGGTGGCTGGGAGCTTAGAGCCGGAAACTGTTGGTTGGTCGTTGCTTTGACAATGGCGAGTTTAGCTGTGGCAGTCTGTGTGCTTTGTGGCGCCGCTGTCGAAACAGTAGTGCCGCAGTTGCTTATATTCGAGATGTTGGCAGTGTTGCTGTTACTATTACTAATGGTTACCGCCGACAGAGGCGGCGGCTGTGTGGCAGTGATGAATTGCTGTTGGGCGAGCGCTAGTTGCGCCAGTTGCTGTTGATGTTGGAATTGCTGCTCAAACAAAAGGTCATGTGTTAATAATATCTAGTAAAATACTTAAAATAAAAACATTTGTTTGCTTACCTGTTGTAGTTCGTTGACGTCGTGCTGCGTTTGGGGCTGTTGCTGTTGTTGTCCGCTGGGTGCAAAGATTGAGCTCAAAGCGGGCAATGGATTTGGCTGTATAGGCTGCAGAGCAGGTAGTTGTTGGGGCTGTTGCAGTGTCAAGGACTTCTGTTGCTGTTGGCTATTGTTGACAGCGAGTGCGGCTGCTGCTTGCGCCAACATAGCCGGTAGTGAAGCAGCATTCAGTAGTAGACCAGCTGGTGTAGCCATAAACACTGGCTGCTGTTGTATATTAGCAGCAGCGCCCAATCGTTGCAGCTGTTGAAATTGCTGTTGTTGTTGTTGATTTGCTGCAATGGCTGCTGCAATTTGTTGTTGGAAAATCTCTTGAAAATTGTTGCTGTTGGTGGCCACAGCAGCGGCCGCTTTCTGTTGTTGTTGTTGCAACTGCAATTGCTGTTGTTGTTGTTGTTTGAGTAGCAGCTCTTGCAGGTCGCTGGCGCTTAGTAGATTAAAGGGATTTGTCGCTGCACTGGTGGCTGCAACAGCTGAGGTTGCTGTGGTTGTGGTGGCAGTGGTGAACTGTTGTAGTTTGAAGACGGTACCGTTGAGAAAATACTGTGCAGCTGCGGCTTGTGCAGCTTGTGCCGAGGTGGCGGCGGCAGTTGTTGCTGCAGTCTTCGCTGCAGCGGCTGCTGCTGCTACATTGTTTAATTGCATAATGTTTGTCCCGTTGGCAGCTAAGAGCTGTGGTAGTTGGACTAGATTGGGTAGCTGTACGGGTAGTTGGAACAGCGTCGGGCTGTTGTTCGTAGCAGTAGCTGTTGTTGTGGTAGGCGCGTTTAGTTTCTGCGACGTGACAGGTTTTAATTGTGGTTGCGGTTGTTGAGGCTGCTGTGCCGCGAGGCGTATGGCTGTTAGTAGCACCGCGGGTTGATTTGCAGTTTGCACTTGTGCAGCTGTTGTGGGCGCTACTTGCTTCGCACACTCCTGACCTTTGCCACTAATTGTTTGTTGTTGTAGTTGTTGCTGCTGCTGTTGCTGCTTCATTTCAGGTGTGCGTGGCGCTATGGCAACGTGTTTCTTAGCCGGTGATTTGCCAGTGGAGGATGCAGTGTAATTATTGCTTGGCGTTTTTCGCAGATTTGGTGCCACCTGTGCAATTTTTGTGGGTTTGCTACGCTCAATTTTCTTTAGTGCTGGTATTGGCATCGTATTAGCGGGGGTGAGTGTAGGTGGTGTGATAATTGCAGTAGGTGCGGTTGTTGCTGCAAAGCTTGAACTACTCGTTGCTGCAACGGTAGTGGTTGTGGTTGCGGGTAGCGAATTAGTTTTAGTTTGTTCACTGTTTTTGCTATTCTCCTTCAGTTGTGACAATATATTGAAGTATTTATTCAGTGAGGCTGTTGTGGCTGGTGCCATTGTGAGTGTGCTTGTAGTTAATGCGTTCGTAGGAGTACTTGTTGTGGGCGCTAAGGGTTCTGGCTTCTTAATGCTACCATTTTGATGTATTTGGGCCTTCATTTGTGATTTGAAGTAGCCTGTTATCTTGGTCTGCGATTCTTCTAAAGCAGATGCTTTCAGTCTTTTTGAAGCGGCAGCTGCACTTACGTTGTTACTCACCACGGCGGATGTGTCATGTACACTGGGCACTTGAGCAACAGACGAACGTGACTTCTTGGTTGCACCGTCACTGCTTGTGTTTATGGCACTGCGTTTCTTGAGTTGCGCACTGGCAGCAGTACCTATTGTGGGCGCTGTAGTCGCACTACGATTCCATTGCAATGAAGGCAGTGTGTTGCGTGGCGTGGTTGTGGTGCAGACTTTTGGCTGTGTCGTTTGTGACTTTAATTTGGCAGTGGTAAGCGCATTATTGTTGTTATTACTATTATTGCTTATGTTGTTACTATTACTATTTGTTGTGCTTGCACCGGCTGCTGTGCTGTGTGCTGGAACGCTGTTGCTACTATTGGTGCTGCTCGTACTGGTGTTGTTATTGCTGTTGCTGTTGCTGCTGCTGTTGGGCGCGAGTATTGTTTGTGGTGGCATTTTGCTTTTATTACAATGGCTGATGCTGTTGCTGCTGCTGTGGGTGGGCAGAACGTGTTGCTGTTGGTCGTCGCCTAAATTCGAGTGCGGACTATAAGGTGAGCCAGGCTCAGATGCATCTTCGCTTGAGCCAGTGCTAGAATCCGTACAGCTGAGTGAAGTTGCGACGCCACTGCAAATACAAAACACAAAAAAAAATAATTTAATAACTTTTCATTCTAATTGTTATACACAATTTTTTCAATCATACACAGCCATTGTGGGTTGTGGCCCCACTGTCAAAAAATGGACGAGAACATTTTATTGAAATTGATATCGCTTGTGGCAAGGTTTTCTTTCAAAATAATTCTACTTTTTTATGTTAAATATTGTTTATATTTGTTTTCGAAATCAATTTTTTTGTTTTACTTTTTTTTTCATTTTCTTTTTGTTAACTAATAAACGCGCGTTGCTCGATGGCTTTGTTTACGAACAGCTGTTTCCACGTTTTGACAGTTCCAGTGTGAAGGCAATTGAGAAAAATCTGCCTAAAAGTAGGCAAGATTATTTGGCCGAAATCGAAGTATCAATTGGAACTTATCAAGTGTTAGAAAACGGATGAAACTGAATATGTTAAAGAATTATTTTTAGTATTTAGAAAAAATTTTAAGCTGGTACATCGGAAGAACTATGACAATTTATAAATGACCTTTAGAAACAATTGTATATACATCGCATTAGTGCTATTGTTTATAATTATGACATACTTTTAAATGAGTCTAGATAAATTCACCGATCTTGTGGAAACATTGTTTCTTAATTTATTGGAGTCTACAAATATATATGGTATACAATCAAACTTCCATAACTTGTAGTACCATTTTGCATGAAAAAGGTTCGACTTATGAAGACTTAATAGACTTCTTTATAGATATTTAGACTTGTATTATATTTATTTCGTAATAGTATATAATAATGGTAACGGCATAAGAATAACACATATTTAGCTTAAAAAACAAAATTTGTATAATATATATTGAAATTTATAATATCAAAATAGATCATTCGTTCTGAGTGTTCGGAGGTGGTTTCATAAATAAAAAAAATAATATGTAAAAAAAAAAATATAAAAAAAATAAAAAATAAGAAAAACATGAAGATAATGTATTTGAAGGACTATTTCAATATGTATGAAATGTATGTAGCTCATGCTTAGGTCTACCATTATACACCTGATATGATTATTGAATGGAAAAAATTCCAAAAAAAAAACGAAAGTTATGGTTCATTTGTTTGAAAATCAGAAATTTTTTCTTTAGTATTTCCGTCAAGTATTAGATATTAGTGGAGAAGATATCCTAAGAAAGATGAATTTTACTTAGATATTAATAAGTCTACTGTGACGAAAGACATATGTAACTTTTAGAAATTAATTAAATTAATTTTTAAAATTTTTCATAAACCGACTTTCAACAGACTAGTTTTTTGTGATTGTGAAAACTCTACCTACTGAATAATCTACTCAGTGAATATTTTTTTCTGTGGGTAGTTATGGTTATTCAAAGTTTTGTACATTTAAAAACAACTTGTCCTCGGTAAGAGGAAACAAGTTGTTTCAAAAATTGATGAAAAAATATATAAGTTTAAAAAACTGTCCACCCACTATGGGTGTTTTTCAAACTAGGGTGTCCGCTAGGACTTTCAATTCATTATAAATTAACAAAGAAATTTTTAAAGTTATTTTAATTAATAAAATAAATTCATTTAATTAGAAATATTCATTTTCTCCAAGCTAATTTATGTAGCTAAAATATTACATTTCGTGTAACATAAACATTTTTTGGATCCATTCATTCTATTTCTTTTATTAGGCATCTAATATCAAGCACATGCCTCTTTGGAATCATTCAAAAAGAACAGGGTATGCAAATACGCTTGATACTTGGGTATCAAATGGATTAACGCAAAAAAATTTGATTGACCAAATTACCAATAGTAATTTGTTGCTGAAGTGCAACGAAATTGAACCATTTTTGAAACAAATCATTAAGGGTGATAAAAAATAGATAATACCACAATATCTATGTTAATGCAAACGATCATAGTCACAGGCAGTTAACCAACCATAAGCGACTACAAAGACCGAATTTACTGCAAATAATACAATGTTGACCGTTTGGTGGGACTAGAAAGAATTAAATAAGATATAATCCAATGCAAGTGATATAGTCGAAAGCCGGTAACTCTTTTCAAACGAGTTCAAAGCCTTGATGGTCGTCAAATAAGATTATCTTGAGTGTTTGTTTGGATTGGAAAGACATTATTTATTACGAGCTACTTATCCTCTTGCAACGGTTCGTCTCGTCCTTTACAGCTAACAACTCGTCGACTTGAACTTCTCAATCAAGGAAAAGCAAACAGAATTGTGCAACAGAAAAATTCCATCATTACAATGACAGGTAACACAGATCTTTGATGGCTTGATAGAAAGTAACGGAACTTGGTTGGGACATTTTGATGCATCCACCATAAAACCATAAAATCACTTGACCAAATTTTTTGCCGATAAAACACGGAAATATACACCGATGGAATGATGGAAAACTAACTAAAAAATGGTAAAACGTCATAAATAATGATGGCCAATAAAGAGGTATAAAAGTCATTTTATATTATATTAATTGATTGAATTTTTGGCTGTACATACAGCTGTTTCGAGTATTTCTAAATAACTATCATCAGTGATCTTGGAAATAATTCTTTAATGGTCAATATAAATTTTATTAACTTCATAGTTTAGTCCTATGTATTGTAATGTAATGGGCCAATTGATTATCTTCAATGACAGATATGTGTAAATGTAATCATTAATTCTAAATAACAGCTGTTCACATTGGACATCAGTACAAGTTTAATTTGGACTAGTGTTTATACTACTCCAATTATATCTAGGGTAAGTTATGCCAGCTTATTTATGTATTAAAATAATATGTACACAATAACAATTTGATGGTAGTTGGCGTAAGTATTAAAAGTATAATATATTTAAGTTTAAAAACTAATTTTCAATATATAAAATTTTTGTTACAAAATGCGCCAAAAAACGAAGAATACCTCTTTATATCACTCAATATTTACTAATTATTTTTTTTTTTTCAATTTTCTATAACGTTCTTAAACATTTTCTTAATTTTGCTAGCAATAATTATTTACAGTGTACGCATTACACAATTCACGTGCTTTAAATTGTGTAAGAGCGAAAAGCAGCAGCTGCAGAAGAATTCAATTTCCTTATCCTTTACACATTTTGCAGTTATGGTTTGCAAAGAGAAAAAAAATAAAGAAATGGTTTTATTTTCAACTAAACCACAAAAATAGAAGTCATTTAAAATAAATACTTTTATTTCACTTTTATATATGTATATTCTTTTTTTTTATTTAAAAAAAAACTGCATCAAGAAAAAATTGCCAATGAAATGCACCGACGGCATATTTAAGCCTATTAAAAGGCAAGCAACAGCAACAAGAAGAAAAAGCAGAAGCAGAAGAATAAACCCAGCGGGACTTTCAGCGCTGAGGGAATCGATTCCCTCAGCGCTGAATGGTAATGCCTAGCGCTGATTATTCAAATGAAACTCCTAATTACTTTAACACGTGCATGTCATTGCGGGCAAGCGCTGAATCGTTCGATTACCTTTTCAAATTTGTAATGCAACATTTCAGCGCTGACATGCTCGCTTACCTTTTCGAATTTGTAATGCAACATATCAGCGCTGACATGTTCGCTTACTTTTTCGAAATTGTAATGCAACATATCAGCGCTGACATGTTAGCTTACCTTTTCGAATTTGTAATACAACATATCAGCGCTGACATGTTCGCTTACCTTTTAAATTTTACCTATGCTATTGATTTTTAAATAAAATACTATAAATTTTTTTGGATAAATTATATTTTATATTTATGTTTTATAAAATTAAAATATTAATATTTACATAAAAAATATAACATACTTATATATATGAATATTTTTCTGTGAAATTGTTCTTAAAGCTTGAAGAGAAATCCAGACTCGACTCGATCACTTGTTCCGGCTTACCATCTGTACTTAAAGCATCTGTAAATACAAAAGTATGTTATTGTATACGCTAAAGTTAATTATGTACAATATACCATACCAAAAAGTGCTGCTGTCACATTCTCTAACGCTCTTAAGGACTTCTTGCTTTGGGTACCATTCTCTAAAATTCCACGAAATCTTTCGCGTAATTGGTTGTTTTTTAATAACGCGTCTCATTGATGCAGTCTATAAATAACGTAATAGATGAAAAGAAATGTATGAATTAGTAAAATTGTTATATGTGAATATATTAATAAGTTGAAATTGAAAGTAAGAAACATATATAATTTAACTTACAACTACTTCAACGGCAGTGATTTCTTCATTAAATTGAATTAAATCCTCTTCAGTTTGAATTGTAAAATTTTCCAATTGAAACAGCTGACTACATGACTACAGCTGATTACCCCTTGCTTTAGAATGACTGCATTCGCAGCACATTGGTCAATTAATCGTTCTTGACGCAGTAGCATCTACATAATACAAAACAAAAATTTCAATTATCATTTTAAATATATTTACTTAATTTTGCATATACTTACAGTGAGTTTATGTGAAATTACAAATTATATTTTATTTATAATTTTGTTTTTTATTTGATTTTAAAAATTAAAAATTGTTCACTGCACGCACTTCACTAAAATCAAAAGCAGACTAAATGTATACAATGTAGGCAAAACAAGAAATTCTTAATACTCCTTTGCTTTTATTCTTCATTCTTTTATAATTTCAACCCCGAAATTGCCTGTGTCGAATACAAATGTCGAAAACAAAGAAAAATAAAAACGAAGAGCTATTACCACCTCGCTTACTTTTTCAGCGCTGGCATAATGGTGCCGCTGGGAAGACACACATTCGCACACATGCAAGCACAATATTCACACGCATGCAAACACACATTCGCACACAAGCAAGCAGCGCACTGCACACAAAATGTTAACAACACCAAAGAAAACTTACCGCTGGGAAATAATTTAAAATATCCAATTTTTTTTTCTGTTCACAGCATAAAAAGATTTCAACTTAAAAATCTTTATTTCAGCGGCTGTTGCAAAAGCAGGAATAGAAATTATGCATAAAAAATTAATCCATAAATTTCAAATTTTTATTCTTAAAACGGACACAGCCGAAAAAAAGAACACCATGAGAAGAATTGAAGTAAATATAATCCAAAAGCAGAAAGGACAGGAAAGTCAAGCGCAGAAAAATAGCAAAATATTTTCTGTTAAAATATTTCTACTGTTATTCTCGTTCTGCTTATTATTAACGCAAAGGATGTTCAGTGTTGAGCGCTGAGTGTAGTGACGAAAAATAGTCGAGTCCTTTATGTTGCTTTTATTTTCGTTGATTTTTGTTTGTTTTGTTTTTTTTTTATTATTACTATTACATATTCCTTTTGTTGTTGTTTTTGTTGTAATTGTTTTGATAAAAGTAACAGCAAAAGTCAAATAAATGCACTATCGTAGAAAAAACTTTGTCAAAAACAAAAACAGAAAAAATTACATACACATAAGTCAAAATCAACAACAACAAAACGTAGCACACACAAATATAGCTATGTTACAAATATAAAGTAGCGTTGCCGACGTAGCTGTTAACGTAAGACGTTGACTTTATGTTTTGTTTGTAACGTATACGTCAACGGCAACGTTTTCGTATATAGAACGGTCGATAAAAGTGTGACGATAACATAAAACACACAAATGCACATATGTTGTTGCCAGTCAGTTTAACGATATAACGTAACGACATATAAACACACACACGTACACATACACATTTAAATGTTATGTAGGGACTGCTGCTAGTAATGCAGTGCTCAGAAAAAAATAATTATTGAAACAAATACAAAAATGTCTGAATATGTTTGAAGTTGTTTTTGTTTTTTTTTTTTGTTTTGTTTTCTATTAATTTGTTTGTATTTTAGCGCATTTGGTGCTATTTTTTGTTATTAAATATATAATTTTTTTTTTTTGGTAACATTTATTAAATTTGTTTAGTGATTTTAAACATCGCTTCTTGACTTTCAATGTTAGTTAGTGCAGAATTCTTTTAAAGCTTAATGTATGATACGACAAGCGCATGTTAACGTTTAACGGACAGGCAGGTTGTGTCTACCTTGGCCCTTTCTTTAAATTTTTTCACTTCTTGCTTTTGTTTTTATTTTATGCTGCATTTTTCTTTTTTACTTTTTTGCTTTTTTCTTTTCGTCGTTTTACTTGACACAGGTAGTAGCGGTTATCTATGCTTTTCTGCGTTTAGTTGTTTGTTGTCAAAGTAAAAGAAGAACAAAAAGCTGCTTGGATTGGTGGCGGCCGCAGCAGCAACAGCAGTGGCACTTATGTATACTCTTGACAGTATACCCCGAGCGAGGTAAAGCGTAAAAATGCTGCCTCTGTAGATGCTGACTGCGCTGCAATTTAAATGTAGCACATTTTATGTTAGTTTTATGCAGTTATGTTATTATTGTTGCTGTTGTTGCTTTTAGAGTTTTTATTAGAATTTAGCTTTTGATTTCAATTTCTGTTTTTTTTTCTTTATTTATGCTTGCTTTAGGAATTTTTTTATGCACTTTAATAACTTTTTTATAATAATTTTAATACTTTTTTGTTGATTTGAGAATAATGCTTACAGGCAGTTTTAAAGATTTTTTAACTTTTTATTTGTTTTGTTGTTATTTCTTTTGCTTTTTGTTTGTTGAAAGGAAGACGTTCAGCTAATATTATTTTTTTTTTCAACATAAATTTTATTGCATTTTACATTTATTTATTACACAGCGTATTATTTACACTAATCGCAATTTATATACTATTTTTCCTTTACTTCTTTTCGTAAATTATTTTTATTTATTCTTCTTTTCAAAATTAAATTTTAGTAAATTTTAGTTTACATTTCATTAGTATGTATAATGTTAAAACTTTTAAACGTTCGCACGTGTATACATAAGACTCAACGGAAACGGAAATGTTTCTTTATGGTTTAAGCACTTAATTTAAAATTCAAATTTTATGTCATAAATTAAATGATTTTTTTTATTACATTTACATTTTTGTTTTTACTTCATAAGACTCAACGCATTAACTAATTTATATTTGCATACCACATTTATGTGCTTGTGTGTGTTCATGCTTACACTTTATATTTATTTGTTTTGTTTACATAAAATAATATTTATATAAAAAAAGTTTTTCCTTTGCATAATTTTATGGGCACACACACCCGCACAACACACTCGCATTTAAGGCAAAACTTTTAATTCCGTTTATGTATGCTTGTTTTTGTTTTTTGTTTTTACTCAAACTTCTCTCTTTTTTTCTCGTTTTACTCGTTGTTGTTTGCCTATAAACAATTTATTTATGTTTTGTTATTTTTCGGTTATTGCATTCATTGCTGGATGCATTGCTTTTCTAATTACAAATCAAGCACACGTAATATTTATGACTGCAAGCAGAGGCAGAGGCAGAGGCAACAGCAGCAGCAGTAGTAGTGAATGTGTGTGTGTGTTTGGCTGTCAGCAATAAAGTCATTGGTAGCATTGACAGTATTGCCGAGTGCAATGTTCGCTTAACAAAATAGAATTTTTTTATGACTTTTAATTTTTATTGAAATACAAACTTTTCATTTGTTTTGGTTTTTTTTGTTTTTTGATTTTCTTATTATTTTTAAATTTGTTAGCGCATAAACATAAATTTAAATTTAATATTCGCTCAAACACAACTTAGTGAAGAGACAAAATATTTTATACACACAATAAAACTAATGAAAAAAAAATTATAATTTTTTATAAAGCACCGCACCGAGCTGTAATCGCACTGTTATAGCACCAACGACGGCGACGACGACGTGCAGCAATGTAAATAAGCGCTGTTGTTTTTATGCTGGTGGTATTGGTGGTACGCTTTCAAAGTAAACAGTTTTTTTGTGCTTTTAGTATTCCGCTAACGTTCTCATCCAGCGTCCGCACCGTTTTAGGGAAAATGTCTGACTGATTTACAAAATTCAGCCAAGTGCCAGTGCAAGTTCCAAAAATTCTATGCCCATGTGCATACAAACACGCACAAACACACAAACGTGCACAAACATATTGCGTTCAAACGGGAATCGGGATGATTTCCCAGTTTTTTCTTCTTCTTTTTTTTTGTTTTCGCTTCTATTTATTTTTTTTTCTTCTTCATGGCTTATTCAAACAAACTTCATCCAAAACATATAGTAAAACATTTTTCTTCTATTTCATTATATCTGTAAACATATGAGAGCATACGCGCACTCTACTTCCGAGAGCAGCAGAACAGCGCGCGCATATGCAGCATAATATTTTCTCCCTTATCAATTGTTTCTTGTTCGCACAATGGCACAATTCATCCCTCAACAATGCGCTCGCTTACTTATTTTCAATGTTATGTTTGTTCTCAGCATTTACCTTATACAATAGCATTATAGCATACATTCAACTTTCTCTCTCTCTGTCTCTCTCTCTCTCAATAATCTCTTTCTCTATGTTTCAGCAAACACTTCAGAGTCTTTTGGTAGTGCATTAAATTTTCCCTACATTTTTCATAATTTCCCCAGTGTTCACGATAGCACTTCACTGCTGCTCAAAACCATCAAAACCATGCGGGTATATATTCGAAATATTGACAGAAAATTTTCTCATACATAAGGAAAACACGTTACGGTCACGTACGAGTACAAAACTTCTTCACTTCTTCACATCCATTCAAAATGCTAATGATAATTTAATTGTAATTTTAAACATTTCTGAAGCTTTGAGATGCAGACACAGCTAGAGATTTTCAATCCAAATAGTATCAATAAAATTAAATAAAGACGAGTTTGAATTCTAAATGATTTAAGAGCTGTGATGTTGGAAGAAGAACAGTATGGAATGTATACTTCACATGCGAAAGATGTCTAATTATAAATTTATATACTGCTTAGAAGTATATACATCTTGTATATAAAATAATATAAATATATATATATGTTACAGATATATATTTTGATTTTAAATTAAGATTCTGGGAGATTGCTTCCATTTTATCGGTGTGTCTTATATAACAATTAATCGATATAAGCGAGGCTTATAACTGATACATATATGAATATGTATATATAGAAGAATTGAAGAATCTTGTACATAATTATATACGTATATATATATTACTGATATATATTTTGATTTTAAATTAAGATTCTGGGAGATTACTTCCATTTTATCGGTGTGCTTTATATGACAATTAATCGATATAAGCGAGGCTTATAAGTGATATATATATATATAAAAGAATTGGAACCGTAATCTTAAGATTACAACTTTCATCGATAAAACCA